ACTCCCCCAGCCCCGCCGATCCCCCCCGATCCTGACCCCCAGCCCCCGCTCCCCCAGCCCTGCCAACCCCCACCCGGTCCTGATCCCCAGCCCTGCTGATGACCCCAATCCTGACCCCCAGCCCCCGCTCTCCCAGCCTGGCCGATGTCCCTCGATCCCACCCCTCAGGGTGGTGGATGCCCAGGGGCAGGGGGCAGCCCAGCAGCTCCCACCTTGTCAGGGTCGTGGGCCACAATGTGGAGGTCACGCACAGGCACCCCGGCAGAGGAATGCTCCTCGAGGGAGCCCCCAAAGCGGCTCTGGGGGCTGGCAGTGAAGTCGCAGGCGGGGAGCTCGCAGTCGTAGAACTGGGGTGTGTTGTCGTTGACATCGGTCACCTGGACGGTCACCGTGGTGCTGGCCTGAGCCACCTGCCCGTAGATATCCAGCTTCTCCTCCTGCGCCTGGGGTGGAGAGGACGGGCCAGGTCAGGCAGGGGCAGCAGTGGGGTGAGGGGTCAGGGGAAGGGAGGATGGGATGGGTCAGGCGGGGGGCCACGGGCACTGGGCGGGACGGGTCAGGCTGGGGGCCAGGGGCACCGGGGGGGGGACGGGTCAGGTGGGAGGCCAGGGGACACCGGGGAGAGGAGGAGGAGCGGGGTCGGGGGGGGCAGGGCTCTCACGGCTGCGTCCTACTCACCAGCACCTCTAGCACCACCTCGTCGCTGGACAGCTGCTCTCTGTCCAGGGCGCTGCGCACCGTGATGGTGCCCGTGGCGAGGTCGATAGCAAACGGCATGCTGGCATCTGGGCATGAGGGTGGAGGAGAGCTGAGGGCTGGGTGCCCACTGGCCAAGCGGGCTGGGGAATGGGGCCCTGGGGGCGCGTCGCCAGCCGGGACTGGCCAGAGCCACTTGCCAGACACGGCCCCTGCACTCAGGGACCTTCCCCTGGGGGATGGCGCCCACTGAGGCCATGGGGGTCTCAGCACCTTCCGCCCCAGCCCCTCAGCACCCTTGGGTCTGTGATTTCTGTGAGTGCAGCTGGAGTAGGCTCCCCGGCTAACGGCGCCCTGTGCACCCCAGCGCCCCCGCATGGCGGCTCTCCCACCGCTCAGGAGCTACCCAACCCCTGGCACGGAGAGGGGACATGGCCCCTCGCTGCTGCACAGGGCTGGGCCTCTGCTCATGCCCCTAGCCCCCTATCCTGCCCTCACCCCAAACTCAGCCCCTCGGAGTGACTGCCCCAGCCCCCCAACCTGTCCCCCCAAACTCAGCCCCTCGGAGTGACTGCCCCAGCCC